GAAAATACCATTCCATAACTTATGAAAATATCAAAAGCTGAATTTCAGCACATGCCTTGGTAAAATAAGTTATTTTCTCCTAAACATTCTTACCTTGTTCACCAAGATCTAAAGACTACAGCAGAGACTCTCGGTCCTGTGGAAATTAATGTTTCTTAAGACAGAAGACTTCCTATGTTAGCCTCAATATAAGCCTCCATACTGGCTTGACGTAAGTGTACATGTATCATAAACAAACATGGAAAAAAGGTGTGTAACAATGTTGTTAACAGGATTCACTAATAAGGTAGAGGTCTAGTCTCTCAATATGCATTCAAAGCAGTTATAAAAGAATAGATCCTTGAATACTACTATACCATATATTAAACTGATAAGAGATGATAATCCTACTTCAGAAGAAAAGTGCAAGTTATTAGCAGAACAGCTCTCTTAAAAATGGACTTGATTGCCTATACTAAGCCCAAAGAGTTACTTTCCTAAACTAATGTACTGGTTTTCCTTTTCTAAGCTATTTTAATATTTCCAGATCTTTTAATTGTTTGAATCAAGTTTTCAGGAACTTCCTAATTTTTAATTTAAACCAATGCAAAAATATACATGTAAAGTCACATATATCAAATTCAGTGGTGCTTTGACTAACTTCTGAATATCATATATGGATTTCTGAATTGTACCTAAGTAACGAGATAGTGTTAGCAAAACCTATATCTAAGGCATAGATTTTAAATTAAAAAAGCACATTTCTGAAGAAAAGCATCCGTTTGTTATTCTGTTTGTGTGGAGAAATCACTCATTTTCTCAAATTATCAAATCATTCTGGGTTTGACCTAGTGTCTCCACCTGATATAGGTAACATAATAGGGACACCTGCAAAGAATGGAAAGATATTTTGTGTTTGAGTAATTAGCAAGTTATAAATCTATGGATAAATGTCTCCTCACATTGCTTGGCCTCACTATATAAAGTGTTTGTGGATGATTAACACAAAAGACTAAAATAAATAGACAATACCATAAAATATTCTCTGGTCCACAGAAATGGTTCATATTTCCATTTTACTTTTTTTTTTTTTTAAACTATTAATGGGAAAAAGGATTTATGAAATCTCCTTCATGAAAATAAATATCCCACTACATTGAGTTACTGGCAAGAAATTCTAACGTAGCAAATCAGATTTTCAAAATATTAAAAACCTAGGGCCACATGCAATATGGGCAAACATACAATTTGTGTGTGAGAATATGTAATTACCATGACTGCACACGTGAATTTAGTATTTGTGCATACAAACACCAGTTAAATGATTAAACTGGCCATTTGTAGGTACAGATTCTGTGATAGAGCATGTTAAGTAATTGTTCATGCAAATTAGACTTACAATTCTGTAGTCATTTTTGCTGATGGCCTTAAGCTTTCAAAACTTCAAAATTTGTCATTCATCCAGCTGATCTACATCTAGAATTTTTAATTTCTACTGCAACAGATATAAACATTAGGAAATAAGGAGGTAGTTAAATCTTTTTTACTTTTTTTTAAATTATATGCATATTTTGTTTCCACTTTAATGTATGACCATTTTTATTCCACCTTTAACATCTCTTCGTCTCCTGCAAGGAATAAAACAGATGAGTCTGCTACCATGGAGAAAATGTGCTATTCCTAGTTCTGTCACTGACTAGCAATGTGATCTTGAACAAATCTCAACCACTCTGTTTCAGTCTTCCTCATCTGTGAAACAAAAATAATAACGCTGCTCACATTTGTAAAGCTCTCTTAGATCTTCAGACACAAAGCTATATATAAATACTATTAATTAACATTCCTAACTGAGCTAACCTTCGATATTTGGAGCCAGCGGAGTACCATTATTTTTGTCCCAAAATAGGAAACGCTATCTGGACCTCTAAAACTGCACCAGAAGAAAATCCCTTATCATTCTAGTGTGTAATTCCCAAAAGAATAACTGTGTAGAGATACAAAAACTCCTCCTATTAACAGAATAGTATAGGTACTAGTTAATATGGTGGGTCTCACCTTCGCCTGGCAGCAATTTTTTCTGCAGGTGCCTTTAAAATGGTTCATCCTGCCTTGTTTTCAGGACTAAGTAACCTTTTCATTAATCTTCCTTTTTTCACATTGTCCCTCTAGGTCCAAACACTGACATACCACACACACCACTCCCTACAATACAAGAACAGTTGGCTAAAGCTGAACCTAAATAAGATTGTGGTTTTGCTGGTAGGCAGAGGGAACCACTTTGAAGAACTTGCTTCCTGCATAAAATTCCTGCTATTGTAGACCTCTATCCTTCAATTGTTAAGATGGTCTGAGCCTGGGGCTCCTTTTGGACTCAGTGCTATTGAATGTCTATACATCAATAGTTGAAAAAAAGCCACTCACTCATCTATGCCTCATCAGAATATCGCACAAACACTATGGTGATCCTATTTAAGATCTCCAGGCTTAATTATTTTGGCTCATATCAAAAAATGAATCCACATAACCTGAACCAATCCAATTAGTACAACATGCAGCATCCCAACTGCTCAGAAACACAGGTCACCATGAATACATTGGGCTGATGCGCCACTCTGCAAAGGCTTCCCATTGAACAGAGTTGAGTTCTAGGTTTGTTCTGGTAGTCAAAGTTCTCCATAGAACTGGCCATGGCTACCTCTTTCTTTGTGAATATGATCCCCTTGGCAGCTGGGTTCAGCTGAAATGATTTAACTGTCAACCAACAGGGAGGAAGTTTGACTGTGGGAGACAGAACTTTCTCAGGAAAGTTTCCTATGCTATGGAATTTTTACCTTTCACAATTGAATACAAATTTATTCTTTGCCTTTACTTTCCCTTAATTTCTTCACACACACACATACACACACACACACACACATATATATAACGTTACCACACAATAACAGAAAATGCCCTAAAAATTAAACCAGCTTTTTCTCCTATAGGTTGGGAAGATTGTTATTTCTATTTTTAAATACACAGGAGACGCTCAGACAGTACAACGATGGGGCCATATAAGCACCTAGCTAGAGAGAAAATACCAGTTCATATGATTGTAAGGGCAACTTATGCAGGGAATAGTTATACACTTACCCTAATGTTTTGACCATACTCTTTACCTAGAAAGCCCATAAATATGTTACAAGGATCGTGTGATAATCCTAGGCTAAAATAAGCAAGTAGGGTGGGATATTCAAAAGCGCACCAGAAAGCTGGGTACCGAACTCCCTTACACTTCATTGAAAATCTCACCCATAGAAGGTTAAACAAAAGATTTACAAGAGTTAAAATGTTTTCAACACCTCATCTAGAAGTTGAAACCACCACTATTGCAGCAAAGAATCCTTAGGGAAAACAGGTTGCAGCTAAACAACAGAGACCATGTCTACATTGCAAACTTTGGTTGACGCAAGTTACATCAGCATAAAGCCACCACTGTTAGTACATCACTCATGTGTATGCATACTTGGCTCCTTGTGTAAGTATTACACATACTCACGAGTGCTTGTGTCAATGCAGGGTAGGTATCTCAGTGCAACCCACTACTGTCCAATTCACTGTCTTTTGGGACGTTTTGGCAATGTATGGTGGGGCAGAAACACATCAAGCGCAGTGACTGGGGGCAAGGGGCCAGTTTGCAATTGTTTTTATCCGATCTATGCCATAATGTTATCTATATCCCATAGGTTTATGGGAAAAAGGCATGAAAATTATGCAGCCCTCCTCACTGTCCACCGTTTCTGACAGAAGCATGGCGCTGGCACAGCTCTGTACTATTGTCACAAGCGTTGCAAGCACAGGACGCATGATCTTCTGATGTTTGCAGAGCCATAACATGAACCAAATAAGCAGGGAACACAACAGTATCTTGGAGCACAGACTGCTCTGGGACATAGCAAGAACAAATTCAAGTTTGTTGCTGGTGTTCAAACTGGTAGAGCACCACTTCTAGAACCAAGAAATGAGCACTGACTGATAGGATCACATCATAATGTAGGCTTGGGATGACGAGCAGCGGCTGCAGAACTTTCGGATGCGCAAGGCCACATTCTTGAATCTGTATGCCAAGCTTGCCTCAGCTCTCCAATATAGGGACATCAAAATGAGAGCTGCACTGATGGTGGAGAAGAGAGTAGTGATTGCACGGTGGAAACCTGCAATGTCAGATTGCTACTGGTAAGTGCAAAATCATTTTGGAGTTGGAAAATCCACTAAGGGGGCCACTGTCATGCAAATGTGCAAGGCCACTAATCATCTCTTGCTATGCAGTACTGTGACTCAGCAACGTGCAGGACATGCTGGAAGGATTTTCAGTAATGGCATTTCTGAACTGTGGTGAAGCAAAGATAGCATACATATCCCTATTTTGGCACAAGCCCATCTTGCCACAGAGTACATCAACAGAAAGGGCTACTTTTCTATAGTTATGCACGCATTGGTGGATCACTAGGGTCTCCTCACTGACATCAACTTTGGCTGGTCAAGGAATGTGCGTGATGCTTGCATCTTTAAAAATACAGGACTGTTCAGAAAGCTACAAGCAGGGACTTTCTTTACCAACTGGCAGATTACCACTGGTGATGTTGAAATACCAATAGCAATCCTGGGAGACCCAGCCTACCCCTTGGCTCCCCTGGCTCACGAAGCCATACACTGGCCACCCCAACAGCACCAAGGAAAGATTTTGCTATTGGCTTAGCAGGTGCAGAATGACAGTTGAATGTACTTTTGGAAGACTGAAGGGATGGCTGCGTTGTTTACTCACAAGACTGGATCTCAGTGAAAAAAAAAAAGACATCCCAATGGTTATAGCTGCCTGCTGTGTTCTGCATAATCTCAGGAAAGCAAAGGGGGGAAAGTTTCCGCCAGAGTGGACTGGCAGTCTGCTGAGTTAGAACAGCCAAACACAAGGGCTATTAGAAGAGCTCAACACCAACCCATACAGCTCAGAGAGGCTTTGAAGAGCATTTTAACAGTGAGCCACAGTAACGTGTGGTGTACTCTGCTCTACCTGGCCCTGCTGTTTTGGGGCCTGTTAGGAATTGTGTAGTGTACATCTATGAATATAGCACTGTCAATGCTCCTCTTAATTTTGTTGTGCTTGCTGTACATTTATGATTATTATGCTCTTTGTCACTGATCCTATGAGTTGTGCCACACTGTACAGTAATAATTAAGTAGGTGCTTTCAGAATTACTAGGCACTCTGAAGCATGTGTTGTGAACTAAAAGATTATATTCCAAATAGAATTATTCAGTAGCAAAACCAGTGCAAAGAAAAATCTGTGCAATTTAAAAGCAAATACATTAAAAACTTAATAAATTAATGAAACAGAAAAACCAGCGGAAAGAACATTCCTGTCCATTAATCTACATATACAGCAACCATGGATTTCACAGATCAGTTTGTGAGGCTGTGGTTGTCCTTAATGCCTGCTGGGGTGGAGTGGGAGGGATAGGGATAAAGCCCCTGATACCACATGGAATGTAGGGTGGGAGAGCACAGGGAGGTGCTGTTATGGAGTTTGCCATGGACTGCAAAGGGAGGAGAACCTGGGATTGTTGAAACTAAGTCCACAAGAGTCTGCAGCATCTCTGTTTGCTGTTGGAGAAGCTCCATTATGTCTTGGTGCATCTCCCTCTCCTTTTCCTGCTGGGACTCCTGGGCCTCTCTCTTCTCTGTTTTTTCCTTCCCCAGGCTGTCTGTAATGTTCACCCTCCAGACCCTTTTCTCACGGTCTCACGCAGCACTGGCTTGCAGGATCTCATTGAACATGTCATCCCGAGTCCTCCTCTTTCTCCTCCTCATCTAGCTCAGGCTTTCCTCAGGTGCGGAGGGGGGAACCTCTCAGAGCCGCAATGGCAGCAGCTGCAGATAAAACACACAGAGGTACCACTGTCAATATAGTTACAACAGAAAGTGAAAGTTAAAATTCAGAACCCCCTTCTCTTGCACCCCTAAAATTTTAAACAAGACATGCTTATTGATACTTTTGCTTCGGAGTGCCTGTGCACGGTGCCACTCGACAGTCAGCCATGGTGAGTATGGCCCGCCAAGGGAAGGAAATGAGGGAATTGCTCAGTTGCATGAAACTATGAGTATAGAGCAATGGTACTAAATACTGGCACCACTGTCCACAGGAAGTGGTGATTTTAGCTGCTCTCTCACTCCTGATATAACAAAGCCACAGAGAGCACAGCTGCTCCTTATTGTCCTGAAGCCACCCAGGCCTGTCTGCTGCTAGCCTGTGTACTACAAGGGTGCCTGCTGAAGTTATCGCTGAGTGGCATGGGAAAGTGTCCTACCAGAAAGGAAGCAATAAGGCTGCCATCCCTAGAAACCTTCAGGGGAGGATTGCAGAGTACCTCCATGAAAGTTTCATCGAGATCTCTCATGAGAATTCAAGGGACATCCCTGTGTACATAAACTGCTCCACATGCCCTCCCTTGCCTAATTCTACAAGAGAATGAAAAGCAGGTAATAACAATAGCTGTCTTTGTTGTACTACTACCTCTTTTAGTACAAGTAAATTAATGAAAAGTCAGTAACTGTGCCCTGTTAAATTGGGGGCACCAGCAATACGTCATTGTAATGGGAAATTCATTTACACACTTACCCAAAGTTCCTTCCCATGCATCGAGCTCACCCGTGCTCAACTGCTGGGACTGACTGGACTGCGGTGGAGTCTCAAAACAGGTCCTGGCTCCCTGGTCGCACGTCCCCCATCCTCCTCCTAGCTGTTCATGCCAGGGACCTGTGGCTTGGGGTCCTCAAAGGTATCCATGGTTATGTGCGGGATATCAGTAGGGTCTCTGACAATTATGGTATGCAGCTCTTTGTAAAAGTGGCAGGTCTGCGGGTTAGCACCCGAATGATTGTTGGCCTCTCGATATAGCTGACCAAATTCCTTCACTTTCACAAAGCACTGCTGCTGGCCCCTGTTGTACTCCTCCTCCTACATCCCCTGTGCAATCTGCTCATAGATGTTTACTTTTCTATGGCTGGTCCATAGCTGTGCTTACACAGCCTCTTCTCCCCACAGGCCCAGAGGATCCAATATCTCTTGTCTACTCCAAGATGGAGTGTGTCTGGAGCATGTAGCCGCCATGGTCAGCTGCACAGTTGCACACAATGGAGAGCTGCTAGGTGTGCTCTCCAGCTGGACAATCAGGAAAAGCCATTTCAAAAATTTGCAGGGCTTTAAAAGAGAGGGAGGGCCTTCCAGTCTCCATGACCCCTGGACAATGCATTCACAATTGTGACCAAAGAGGTTAGCGTCAGACACTGTGGAACAGCTGCTGGAGGACTGTTAGAATTCATATAAGTAACGCAGTGTTTACACTTGTGTTGCGTCGACCTCAGTACATCAACCATGGCTTAATGCTGCTCAGGGAGGTAGTGTTACTGCATTGCTGTTAACGGGGCACTTACATCAGTAAGAGACAAATTTAGGTATAGGCATGCACATGCGGTTTACATCAGCCTAACTTTGTAGTGTAGACCAGGCCTGATTAACTCCTTATGCTGTCCTATGGTATATTTCTTAATCCCTTTAAAACATCACAGTAATTCATTATTAACGAAAAGAGTATTAGCAAGCACATTATAGAGTACAGCAGGACTTAAATGTTTATTTTCATCCCTGCACAGTTTTAATAGCCTCCATGTAATTCCCAGCCTGTGATTCTCCAGTTTATGAACAGTTTGTGAATAATCAATCTTCTGGTTACATTACTATGCAGTGGCATTTCTGGGAGTTGATGTAATTCCTGTAATCTGCAAGCTGTTTCAAGTACATATGGGAAGGCCATCTGTGCATCTCAACAAAATTGCGCTCTTCCGCTAAAAGTAAATAAATAGTATTAATGTTAAACATGTGTATACACACACACACACAAATTACAAACTGAAAAACTTCTAAAAATTGGTTTAAACGACATTAAGGACACACAAACCCATAATAGAAGGGAGCGGTAAAGTTAAGGCTGAAACTCTGTTCATTGTGCCTACGTGTTTTTGCAGCACATAAACTGTAAAAATCAACTGCCTGAATACCCTTATTGTTGTGCTAGGCATAAATAAGTTAGTTAATTTTAAATGAACGTAGTATTCAGAAAAGATACCAAAATGACAGTCCTGGAGACAAATCCTCTATCCACAAAAGAGATACAGCATAGGTAGCAACAGTGCGGGATGCTTTTTTATGCAACCACAACAAACAAGGAGTAGTTCATTCTCCACACCTGACTTCCTATACTGAGAATGACAACAAAGGGGATGTGGATACATTTCTAATAACTGAATTTAAAACTACTACTAAATTTCACACAGACCACCAAAAGCCTTCTGATAGTGACAAAAGGGTAAAATAAGCCCTAATGCTGAATTTCCTTTTTGTTGTGGGTTTAGCTTAATTTTTTTGTTTTTTGATTTTGTTACTGATCTTCCTAAAAAATAACTTTTTTTGAAACATAATTTTAGGTCATCATAATTAGGCAAGATACATCCTTCTTCCTAACTCAGTGTCCCAGCATTTCCTGAATCAGATTGCAGCAGAAGATGTCCACAGCCAATTTTCTTGGGCTAGGGACAGGCAGAATACAGATGTCAGCAGAGTACAATAGGGCCATATTGTGAGAGGTGCTGAGCTAACACAACTCCCATTAATCCATCAGGTGGTTTCTACATTTCTCTTAAAGCAAACTGGGTGGGTGCACCTCACAAGGTTTGGCTTTTTAAAAAAAATGAACTATATAATTTACCTCTTCCACTTCTATTTCCCAAACCAATTTGACTGACTACTTTGTCACTTGGGTTTACTTACATGAATGAAGTGCCATTTAATCATTTGGTTTCATGATATGCTGTATCAGATATTGGACAGCATTAGAGATCCTAAATTTTTTTTTTAAATGTTATGCTTATTATGTGGTGTTTAAATAGCACGTCCTTGGAAGCAACTTGTAATCTTGATTCAATGTATAAAATAAACAGACTTAAGTACATTTCTCTGAAGTCTTACTTATCTCCTCACATGCTCAGAAGCAGCATTACTTTGCATTTATTCTTCAGTCCAAATATAATGGAAAAGGTGGTTTTTTTTTAATTTTTAAAAGATAGGAATTGGTTAACTACCTGAAAGATCTTGAAATTCAGGCTTTTGACTGAAGATGAGGTAGTTAGTGGCAATAAAATGAAGGAGCCAAGTTGAAAGGCAGTCAGAGTTGTGAAACTGCAAGGAAAAAAGGAAAGTGAAACAGAATACAAATACTGTTCATGATTAAAACAGATAAAAGACAGCAGAAGGAAAAAAGCAAAAGTCATAATTTAAGATTTCCAGTGTCAAAGTAACAGCATAGCAAATGAAGAGCGGTATCCATGGCAAAAATAAATGAGGGAAAATATAGCACAACAAACTGGCAACGACATACAAATTCTGAGAATGTGTTTGAAATAGCAGAAAACTGGCAGTAAACAGGTAGCTGCCAGACACCATGACAGTCTCACAAAGCAGATTAGGACTGAGAAAATTCAGGGCCAGTTAAAATCAATTTCAAAGTTGTTGTTGAGAGTATCAGAGTAGCAGCCGTGTTAGTCTGTGGGTTGTAGCCCACGAAAGCTTATGCTCTAATAAATTTGTTAGTCTCTAAGGTGCCACAAGTACTCCTGTTCTTGTTGAGAGTATGTATCTTTTCTAAAAATGTTTTGGTTAATATAACAGTGGCTAAACTAAACTAAATTTAGCTATCTAATGAAGTATAACTAATTGCTGTTTAATGCCACAGCAAGATCTCCTAACTCCTCTTCTCCCTTGTCTTTTTGTGTACATTTTTTTTTTTTTCAAGAGTTTATTGTGGGTAAGGTAATTCTGCCCTCTCCTATTTTTTTTTTTTTAATGAAACACTGTTTCTTTAAGAGGCTGCACTTTCTATCCCTGAGCAGTAAAAATGATTTTATCTGTCTTGTCTTTACTCTCCTTTTCTGTTCCCCCAATCTGTCTTTATTTTTGTCTCTCCTCTTTCCTGTCCTGTTTCTCAGCTCGCCTATCTTCTCTTACCACTTGGTTGTTTATTCATCATTTCCAAATGCACACTCTGTTCTACCCAGTCCTTCTGTGCATTTGAGACGTGGTGCACAGTTGGAGACAGCTCTTCCAGCACTAAAGAAGGAACCACTTCATCTAGGCCTGGTCCACACTAACCCCCCAATTCGAACTAAGGTACGCAAATTCAGCTACGTTAATAACGTAGCTGAATTCGACATAGCTTAGTTCGAACTTACCGCGGTTCAGACGCGGTCCACACGCGGCAGGCAGGCTCCCCGTCGACTCCGCGGTACTCCTCTCGCTGAGCTGGAGTACCGCAGTCGACGGCGAGCACTTCCTGGTTCGACTTATCGCGTCCAGACCAGACGCGATAAGTCGAACCCGGAACTTCGATCCCCAGCCGCCGAACTAGCGGCTGGGTGTAGACCAGCCCCTAGACTCACTGCAGTGCTTCTACGATAGAATTTGCACAGTTTAGCTGAATTACTACTATGTGGCTCACGGGCAGGACATGTCACAAATGCATAGACACGCTGCAAGTAAGAAAGTTCTCATGGTACAAAGGTGGGGGAAACTGTGCTCTTGGCAGGCTGTACTCTGGCTATCCTTGTGCTACCACAAATCCCTAAAGAACAGATATACCAGTAAATATCCAACCCTGAAAAGTGAAATATCAAGAAAAAAATTTTTTTAAAGAAATTCCATCACTCATACATTACATGTTCATGTATGAGCGATACATACCTTGGCTTTTCTGAGCAAGCTGACAATGCTAAGACTTGTAGATGCTAATTCCCTACTAGGCATACTCTGCAGCTGTGTGATGATATAAAGCTCACAGATATGCTGGAGTCTGGATACCTGGTACATCTCAGCACAAATCAAGAGAGACATGGCTTGCAAAATACTGGCTGGTAAAAAAACCAAACATGACTTATAGTTAGTGCAATCTCATTGGCAGGCTGATCAAAACCATTTTTACAGTAACCACTTAAATTTGCTTGGAATAGACACAAAATCAAAGTGCTTCTGATCATCTTATGTTTCTGCACTGTATTTCACAATTTTTGACAGGTGAACTCTATTTTAGCAGAAAAGTATTTAATTTCAAAAAGAGTGACCACTATTTTATCTTCCAAAAAAAATGAGCTAATGCAATGTTGTTACTAAACTTTCCTATGTTGTAGATTGTGGGTCAAATATTGCTGCTGAAGTGAACAGTCTTCAGTGAATTTAGGATTTGACCTTCCAATTTATATCATTTTGCTGTGTGGAGAAAAAATTGTTTTTATACAATTATGCAAAGTTTCATGAAAAAGCCAGACATAACACAGCAAGGTCTTTCTTTTTTTCCCCCAAACAGTAAATTACAATAGTAACATTTAAGCAGGTAGTGTTGGACAGAGAGATGAAAAAGAAAAAATAAATAAAGAGCATTATTTAAAAAAAAATAATTTTCATTCATGTCCTCTAGTGGGAGTCACTTGAAATATTTAAGTACTACAATGTAAAATTTCAATATTTCTTATGATAGCTTATAAAACCAAGATTACTTTAACCAAAATCTGTTTTAGGGATTTATTCCAGTTCAGTGTAGTCATCCGGTTTTGTATAAGTGCATTACGAGATTAGATAGATTTAAGCTTTAAAAAAAAAAATGAAACTTGACAAAGAGAAACAACTTTGTACTAACCTGGAGCTCTGACTAAGCAGTATTTAAACTGTATTTCTTTTTTCATCAAGAAAATGGCCTCAAGGCATTGGAATGGCATTGAAATGACTTAAGATTTAATTTTCAATGTGTTACTTAAGTAGAAGATGAATAAAACAATTTGTAAATTCTATTATAAATATACTTCATTGTAATGATACACTAATGCATCATATTTTGATAACTTACAAAAAAAATAAAGTTTTCCTTTTTAAAGGAGAGAGAACTTCATTCTCATGTTGTACCACAGAAAGCTACACCTAAGACAAAAAGTTTCTAAGAAATATCTTCAGCCAATAGAAATCCTTAACCAGAAATACATCGACCAATATGAATACTTTTACTAGTGAATTTAAAGTATCTGGTAATGCAAAACTCTTCCCAATGTACTTTGTTTACAACATTGCCATTTTGACACAAAATGCAAAAGGATGAAGCTGTTAAGAATACGACTAGAAACTTTTCACTTAATTTTTTTATATTGGCATTACACCTGAATATTAATTTACAGAGAAGTGTAAAACTTCAATCCTTCATTCAGTATGTTGCAGAAGCAGGGAAATGAAAAGTCACTGGTGTATCTCCTCCCCCTTACTTCCCCCTTTCACCCCTGTAACCCCCACAAAATCTGGGGGCAAAAATATGCCTGAAGTATGCAAGGAGTTAAAGGATATAAGGATATTTTTACATTTGCTTACCTGGACAACAGGAATCAGTATACAGATACTCTAGAAAGGAGAGGAAAGTATCTTTGGAAACCCCATAAACTGGAACCAGAAAACTATTTGCTTCTATATAACTTCCATTAAACATAGCTGCCATTACTTCACAGCGAGCCACTAGAACTGCTCTGTGGGCTGGTACAGTAGCACCTGTCAGATTTAAAACAAAAAATGACATTTATTACTGCAGCCTGCTCTCTACACCAGTTTTGCAAGTTAGAGAAGTACTTATCACTTCAGGGCAGATCCTCAGCTGGTATAAACTGACATCACTCCACTGAAGTCAAAGGAGATATGACAATTTACACCAGCTGAGGATTTGGACCATTGTGTCTTCTGTATGCAAATAAAAGGCATGTGTAAGAATCTGCAGTATACCCAAGTAGTTTATTGATTTCAGGAGCATCACTGACATGACTAAAGCTTTGCGAGATCACATTCAAACACACTAAGGCAAATCATCCGAGGTGGAATGCCATTGTACTAGGTGCTGTATAGTCCTTTCTTTGAAAAGCTTATAATCAAGGCCCTGATCCTGCAATTTTTTTTGAGTCTAGGTGGATTGCTGCACCTGTGCAGCACTGTACTAAAGGGAATAGGCTCCACACAAGTGCAGCAATTCACCCATATGCAAGAAGTTACAGGATCAGGGCCTACCAAGACAGATAACACTGCTCTACAGCCAAAATGCTTCTGAAATAAATGTAGTCAAACTTTACTAATTCTGGGTCACTGAGAATGAAAATGATGCTTAAAATTGTTGATTGGCTCTAGTTTTCAAGATATGCTATTGGGTCAGTATATACGACCCTTGACTTGGGAATGGCGGAGGATAAGTGAGTTATAAAGGGAAGGGATCTCAATTTAAACCAGAAATGACTAAAATACATCTTTGACTGGATCTATGAATAAATCTATGACTGGGTTTGGACAGTACTTGCTTTTTAGGCAAAACAATGAATGATGTAATCTGAAGCTGGTATTGCATCATACATGATATGAATTGCATCATGTTATTCCTAGAAGTCATGGATGATGCAGTCATAACGAAGCTTACATCACTCTGCTGAACAAATTGCCCTATATTAGCTCTAGAAATCATACAGTGTCATGCTCTCTTATTTGTCAGTGTTTGATTTTTGCAAAGGGACACATTTCTGTTTAGCCAAAGTGAGCAGAGATGCCTCGTACTTGTGTGAACAGTGCAGATAACTTCTGCTATGTTTGTGGTGAAGTGACTTTTGCATCACAAAAGCGCAGTATAACCACTATGGTTAAGAAAGCCTATCACCTTTATTTTGGCTGCAAAATTGGAGATCAGGACAAGAGGTGGGCCCCACACATATGCTGCAACACTTGTGCAACAAATTTTCGCCAGTGGTTGAACAGGAAAAGGAAATCTATGCCTTTTGCAGTGCCAATGATTTGGAGAGAGCCAACAGATCAGACCAGCAATTGTTACTTCTGCATGGTGCCTCCAGTTGGGAAAGGTGTGTCAAAGAAGAAAAAGTGGACTGTGCATTATCCAAACATTCCAACAGCTATACACTCAGTACCCCACGGAGAAGGACTGCCGGTTCCTGATGCACCAGAATCATTCTCACTTGAGTCAGACGAGGAAGAGGATGAAACTTCTGGTCCTGAACCATCAATGTCACAGGACCCACATTTTCTCCCATCCTCCTCCTCTGAACCACACCTCATAACACATGGTGAACTGAATGACCTTGTCAGGGATTTGGAACTACCCAAGAGTAAGGCAGAGCTGGTGGGCTCCAGACTACAGCAGTGGAATCTCCTGGCAGGTGATGTTAGGGTTTCCATGTTCCGTGACCGTCAAAAGGATCTTGTCCCATTCTTCTTCATGGAAGGTGATCTTGTAGCCTGCAACAACATCGATGGTGTGATGGCAGCCCTCAACATCGTTCACGATCCAGATGAATGGAGACTGTTCATTGATTCATCGAAGATGAGTCTTAAAGCTGTTTTACTGCATAATGGCAATGTTTTGCCATCAATTCCAGTTGGTCATGCAGTCCATATGAAGGAAACCTATGACAACATGAAACAACTTTTGAGGTGCATAAACTATGACCAACATCAGTGGCAGCTTTGTGGCGATTTGAAGGTTGTTGCTCTCTTGCTTGGTCTGCAGACTGGATATATAAAGTATTGCTATTTTCTCTGCGAATGGGATAGTCGTGCAAGAGATTCCCACTACATCAAGAAAGATTGGCCACTCCGACAGTCATTGCTGAATCAAGGAAGATTTTGTTACCACCCTTACACATCAAGCTGGGTCTGATGAAGAACTTTGTCAAGGCCACTGACAAAACACAAGCAGCTTTCAAGTACCTCCATGGAAAATTTCCAAGGTTAAGTGAAGCTAAGATAAAGGAAGGTGTCTCTGTTGGTCCTCAGATTCGTGAACTTCTTCGAGATGATGCATTTGACCATGCACTGCGTGGCAAGGAAAAGACGGCATGGAAAGCCTTCCAGTTAGTGGCAATAAAGTTTCTCGGAAACAACAAGGCAGACAACTACAGGTTGTTGGTGGAAAACCTCCTCAAGGCATACAAAAGCCTTGGTTGCAACATGTCACTAAAGATACATTTTTTGCACTCTCATCTAGATTTTTTTCCACCGAACTGCAGAGCAGTGAGCGACGAGCACGGCGAGCGATTTCACCGGGACATTGCAACAATGGAGAAATGCTATCAGGGCAAATGGAGCCTATCAATGCTTGCAGACTATTGCTGGACAGTGACAAGAGATGCTCCATTTAATGAATACAAGAGACAAGCCAAGAAGCGCCGAGTAGACACTGAATAGGACTAAACTATGTACATAATAAAATTTATTATGAAACAAAAGGCAAAAAACTATTTATATAACCCTTTTGCTGATTTTTAAAGTGTTACATAAACAGGACAGGTGAAATATTATCATGTAAAGCAACCATAAACACATGAAAAGACCTAGGTTTACAATTTATGATTAAAACCCTACTATCTACACAATATACATAGACATAAAATGTAAAAACTTAAATATCTTAGAAACAGTAGCCAATCAGTTGTTTTAACTGTTATATTTGTATTCAGCACATCAAAATACATAATAAATGGCACATTTTATCTCTGAAGCAGACGACTTCTCAAAAATTGTAGACCAGTGTAATGTCTGAAGGGTGGGAAGGAGTCATATAGTCAATATATAGAATTTTCAGATGAGTATATATATTAGCATTTAACTGATCTGTTTATTATGACAACATACCAACCATCTTCATTTCCCTCTGAACTTAACCATTACTAATTGGCAGATTTCTTATAGGCATCAGTAAATGGTGTTTGCTTTTTGTTCTGTTACTATTAATCTTTGTTTATATTTTCAGATTATCTAATAAGCACACATTAAATACACTGGTACACCTGTAGCATATATTTTATAGCTATATATGCATATATGTAAGAGGTGCACATTAAATAAAAGACATACTACATAAGATTATATACAAATATTTGCATACATACACGCATTCAGTATTTAGGGGATTAAATAACCTTCTGTATTTTTTCAACTGGGAGCCACTGTATTTGTATAATGTTTCAATAACACTTACTGAAGTACCAATAGTTTTATAGTCTAGGGGTCCAAATCCTGCAAACTCAATGGAACTGCTCACATACTTAACGTTAAGCACATATGTTTGCAGGATCATGACCAAAGTCCTGTCACAATATATAAAAATGTCTTAATTGTACAATTCGAAAAGTTAAACTGTGCTACTTAAAAAATCAAATCAATTACTACAACTGTGATTGGAAAATTAGAGTAAAACTTACTCTGAGAAAATAGTACGTAGCCACTATTTTAATCCTTTAGTCACCATTTTGGTAATGGATGGCATGCTCCTTTGTAAATGTCAATTTATTCATCAGTGATATTTTCTTTGAAATATGTAGTGGGTGCTATTGTTTCATCAGCTTCCCACAAGGAATATCCCAAGAGTGGAACTTAGAACTGAACTGTTGTGTTGCCAAGTTTTGCATTAGTGTTTTGTTTTCATTATCAAAAGTTCTTTTGTTTTTATTGCATACTGAAAGGGACATCTAGAAAAAAATCCCCTTTTCTCCATGCACCCATTTTTGAGGGATTAAATCTTCATATTTGACCCTGGGTGTTTCAAGTTGAAAACAAAATAATTCAACAATTGTCTAGTGTTTGGGGAGAGGTTTTTTTGCATATGGGGTAGGAGTGGACAAGTCAGGAAAACTGTTAGTGTTCAGATAAGTATCTTGTCTGATACTGATTTGCAACAGCACACCCCAAATGTGTCATCATTTTTTCCATTCAACTGTTCTTTTAGTGGATAAGTGCATTTAGTTCTTGTGAAAGTTATCTAGAGTACGCCATTACTTTTGTGGTGAGCACACACATTCTTCAGAGGCAGTGAGAAAACAGATCCAGTGATTTGGTCCCTTTTTGGGCTTCTGACAAGGAATACTTACAAATCTTCATAAACAAACAATCAATCCTGCTCAGTTAACAGTTAATATCCTTTCAAATTATCTATTCAGTTATCTTAAAAAACTTGTCTTGTATTGTATTTAATCATAGATGGGCAAACTCTCTGGGCTGCTCCAGTAGCATGAAGGGACTAAAAACTGGCTGCATTCCCCCAAGTCACGATTCCCTCAGCAGGCACAGAGGCTGCACAAAGCAGAAAGCTGGTGATAGAGGAGCTAGCCCAGGGCGGGCAAACTTTTTGGCCTGAGGGCCGCATCCAGTTTCCAAAATTGTATGGAGGGCTGGTTAGGGGAGGCGTGGCCTGGCCCCTGCCCCCTATCTGACCCCCGCAGCTTCTCGCCCCCTGACAGCCCCCTCTCCCCCCGGGACTCCTGCCCCATCCACCCCCCTGCTCCCTGTCCCCTGACGGCCCCCCCCAGGACTCCTGCCCCATCCAACCCCCCTGTTCCCTGTCCCCTGACAGCCCCCAGACCCCCCGCTGCCCCATCCAACCCCCCCTCCTTCCTGACTGCCCCTCCGGGACCCCTGCCCCATCCAACCACCCCTTCTCCCTGTCCCCTGCCCACCCCCAGAACCCCTGCCCCTGACTGCCCCCCGCCGCCCCATCCAACCCCCTCTCTCCTTCCTGACTGTCCCATCTGGGACCCCTGCCCCCATTTAACCCCGTTCCCCACCCTCTGACCGCCCCGACCCCTATCCACACCCCCGCCCCGACCACCACCCCCAACTCCCCTGCCCTCTATCCAGCCCCCCTGCTCCCTGCCCCCTTACCGCGCTGCCTGGAGCACCGGTGGCTGGCGGTGCTACAGCTGCGCCGCCCAGAGCAGCAGGGCTGGCAGCCGTGTCGCCCGGCTGGAGCCAGCCACGCCACCGCTCAGCACAGAGCACCGGGTCAGGCCATGGCTCTGCAGCTGCGCTGCCCCAGGATCTCGCAGCTCCGTCGCCCAGAGCATTGCGCCGGTGGCGGGGCGAACTGAGGCTGCATGGGAGGGGGAACAGCAGGGGAGGGGCTGGGGGCGAGCCTCCCGGGGCAGGAGCTCAGGGGCCGGGCAGGAGGGTCCCATGGGCCCGATGTGGCCCGCAGGCCGTAGTTTGCCCACCTCTGAGCTAGCCTGTACTCTTCACAGTCATTTCAATAACAATCAAGAAATTTAAAATATTTAATGTTTATTAAGTCTTCACCTACAATAGATACAGCAACATAATACAAACAGCACACTGCTCACTATAAAGCAAAACCTTAATCCCAACTTCAGCAACATCACTGTACATATCTGTTAGACACCATGAATTAAAGAAGTGTATGATGTATTATTTTCCATTAAAAAGTATGAGGGGTGTTATTTTCCAGGGTGAGTTCAAGTTTTGTGTCCTAGTGCAGTTGTGGGGAATGTGGTGTGTGTATAGTGTTACTGTACCTGTTGGTGGTGTATGGGACTTACTCATAGCGGGGCAAAGTCTGTGAAAAGTAGCGAATGCAACGTGTCTGGATTGGCAAATGTTAAAATGGATACTTGAACTGGGCATTACCTTATTTTAAAGTATTTGGATGGGCTGTTTTTTTATAAGCTAATAACTGGCTTTCAGAAAAAGTTTCTTTTTTCTATGGAAATTTATTGGAAAATTATATGGTGATCATGGATCCTATTCACACCTACCACAACACATGGTGTACCTTGTCTGTGCACTAAATGCCCCAAAAGCAACTATGTGGGTGAAACTAGACAATCACTATACTCTCAAACGAACTCACACAGAAAAATTATAAAAGACAAACACCGTTTCGCACCATATCACTTCTCACAAAACGATCACTCCATATATGACCTCTCAGGCCTCATCCTCAAAGGAAACCTGCACAACACCTTCAAAAGACAAGCTTTGGAGCTTAAATTCATAACTTGGCTACACTCTAAAAAACATGGCCTTAAAAAAAGACACTGGATTTATGGTTTATTACAACTATCTGTAATATGCTACTTCCTCTTTTTTGTCCTATGACTGTACGGGTGTTAATGGGCCACTTCCCCTTGAATGGTCCCTGTGACAGGGTGCTGACCAGGAACTGCTGAGCCAGCCCTCTGTCACTCCAGCTCCAATTAAGGTAGGTGAATTGGAGCTGACTTGAGGTACCTGAGCCCGATTGGCAGAGTCAGAACAGCTGCCAGGCTGATTAGCCTGGGGCTATATACAGGTTCAGAGGGAGGAAGGGGGGGAAAGCCAGAGTGTGGAAGGAGAGGGGTAGCTATTCCCTCCTGGCTGCAAAATGGAAAAGCCCAAGCGATATGTGGTAAGAGGTGGTGGGTTTGCACTGTGTAAATAAAGTGCACCAGTGACTGTTGAGCCAGAAGGTCTCTGAGTAATTTTTGGAGCAGTGGCAGAACCAAGGGGGGCCCTGCTACACCCTGTTACAGTCCCTTATATTATGTGCTAACTATTTATGCTAACCAATCTTTTGGACTAATTTCTGTTGGTGAGAGACACAAGCTTACACAGAGCTCTTCTTCACATCTGGGAAACTTACTCAGAGCGTCAGAGCTAAATACTAGATGTGTCACTGTAGCATTTTAAATATAGACAAGCCCTGAGTACCTTTCCCAGAGCTGAAGAAGAGCTTGAAAGCTTGTCTCTTTCACCAAAAGGAGTTGTTGGTTCAACAAAAGATATTACCTCACCCACCTTGTCTCACTAATATCCTGGAACCAACACGGCTACAACAACACTGCAAACTAAAAATCAAGAAGGCGTTTTCCTTTCACAATCTCCTTCTGGAAAGAACATCAGACGATATTACTCAGCCTCTAAAATATTTAAGGTTCATTAAGATAGGGGGGAAAAACACAAGGAAAAACTGAGACACTATACCTTGTATTTGGAAGATGACATCAGCTAACACATGTGTGTTAAAGAAAAGCCTGAGAGAAGTATCACATAACTGCAAGGGTCTTGCTGTCTGATGAGATCTGCAATTCTCTGAACTATTCACCTGCAAGAGAGAGATACTGACATGTATAATTGCCTACGAGTGGTACATAGGTGTTGCATATGGTTTCTATCATGAAATTAAATGATTCTCATCTTTCCTCCTAATTCCTTTTTCCATCACTGACAACTCCACTACCCTCCCCATCTCTCAAATTTTTTAATCTTGAAGATCCCTGGCACCATTTTTGTCCTCCGCTCACATGCAAAAATCTTGACAAAACCTACGGCTTCTGCTTTAACATTTCTAAAATCTGCCTCTCTCTCTCTACAACCCCCATTGTCACAACCTGTTTCATACCACTATTCTCTCTCATTTGGACCATTGTAAACTCTTCCCCTCCGGTCTTTCCATCTCTCACCTTTTCAACATAAAAGAGCTATAAAAATCTTTTTGCCATGTCAGACATATCTTTACCCTTCTCAAGTCCCTTCACTGGTTCCTTGTCTCTTCCTTTGAAAAGCTGTAATTGCTCATCCCCATTGTTAAAGCTCCCGTTTCTACATCTCATGTCAGCTTGTGATCAAACCATTCCTCATGTCATTATTCTCTTTGTCTCCTGCTCCCACTTACACCTTTGTGGGTTTTTTCCCCCAATACACTACAGCCTACATCTGCAACGACACCTCTCTCCTGAAAACCAAGGGCTTTTCTACACTGACAGCATTGCAGCAGCACAACTGCAGCTGCGCTGCTGTAGCATTTAGTGAAGACACTACCTACACTGACAGGAGAGCTTCTCCCTTCGGCATAGTTACTCCATCTCCCTGAGAGGCATTGATATAGCACTGTCTACACTGGGAGTTAGGTCGGATAACTGCGTCGCTCAGGGGTGTGGATTTTCCACACCTCAGTGACATAGTTATGCTGACCTAAGTTGGTAGTGTAAACCAAACCCAAGTGCTCTCACTTTCTCTCTTCAAATCCCTCCTCAAAAGCTAATTCTTTCACTTTGATTTCAATTATTGATTTTCAAATAATTTTATGAATTTAGAAACTTTAAAGTAAAGCTAAAATTCATAACTGAAGTTCTATATAAGAAATTAAAGGAAACCAAATTAAAAATAATAGTAATTAAAATCATATTGCTGATTTTGCTGAATGAAGTTTAATTAAACAGGGCTCAACTGATATTTAAAATATGATCTAATTTATGTAATATTTTTTAATTTTACAAGAAAACCCCTGACTATATATCCAGAGCAGCTAGAGAGGCCGGAGGGAGTACCAATTGAAAAGATTCTCTTTTCAGTAGGAGTCTTCTCTCTCTTTCCATGCCCCTTCCATCTGCCAGTCAGGGAAGCAAGAGAAATGAAAGCTCCATTTAAGACAGGGGTGGCTAAACTACGGCCCGCAGGCCGGATCCATCCTGCCAGCCATTTCAATCCTGCCCTCAAGCTCCCTCTGGGGAGGGGGGTCTGGGGCTTGCCCTGCTCCGGCGCTCCAGCCAGGGAGCAGGGTCAGGGACCACTCCACGTGCTCCCGGAAGCAGTAGCATGGTCTCGCTCCAGCTGCTACGTGTAGGGGCAGCCAGAGGGCTCCGCTCTGCATGCTGCCCCCGCAGCTCCCATTAGCCAGAAGCTGTGGCCAATGGAAGCTGCAGGGGCAGCACCTGCGGACGGGGCAGTGCGCAGAGCCACCTGGCCATGGCTCCGCGTAGGAGCCGGAGGGGGGGCATGGCTGCTGCTTCCAGGAGCTGCTTGAGATAAGTGCCGTCCGGAGCTTTCACCCAAGCCACACACACACTCCCCACATCCCAACCCCTTGCCCCAGCCCTGAACCCCCTCCAAACCCCTCAATCCCAGCCCGGAGCATCCTCCTACACCGCAAACTCATCCCCAGCCCCACCCTAGAGCCCATCCCACCCCAGTTGGAGCCCGCACCCCCCCACACCCCACTCCCCTGCCCAAGCCCAGAGACCCCTCCTGCACTCTGAACTCATTTCTGCCTTCACCCCAGAACCCGCACCCACAACCAGAGCCCTCACCCCCCTCCTGCCCCCAACCCCAATTTTGTGAGCATTCATGGCCCGCCATACAATTTCTATTCCCAGATGTGGCCCTCAGGCCAAAAAGTTTGTCCACCCCTGATCTATTATATATTTTAAAACAGCTGATAGAATACAAGATTCTGTAAGCCACAATACTTGTACAACAAGGATCATTACGAAAAGTTATTTTTTAATGAGTCCAGCTATTCTACACAAAAAGTGATTACAAAAGAAAATAATGGCAATTGACCTTTCCTGGAGTTTTCAGGATACATTTAACTTTCTCAAGCACAAGCTCAGCTTCTCCTGGGTCTTTCAACTTCTTTTTTATATCTTCTTCCAACAATTCCCATTGGAAAGCACCTATGACAAAACCAAATAACACCCGTAAGGCATGGAATAGCTTTCTGGTGCATATTATTAGGTATAAATTAATGTGCATGGGACTTCGCAGACATAAAAGAATGTCCATGCCCAACAGTTCAGTTTTATAGAAAAACTTTCACAGCACTTTTGTTGGTTAGATATTTTCAGCAAGTTTGTGCCCTAGAACGCACAAATTATAATTCTGCAATGGTGAACCCTACGCATTGATGTAATGTTGACTTTATCAGGATTTTTCAAGATCAAGCCCCCATATCTTAATTTAGATTCTCAAAGAAGTCTAGGCAATTTAGATATGTACATGTCATGGAAAAAAGTCTAAATCCCCTGGACTGCTTCAAAAATCTCAAGATAAATTTAACTCAAGGTCCTGTATAAACTTTGTATGCGCAATTTCAGAAAAGTTGCTGTTTGAGCATGTAGAATTAGGCACTTAACTATGTTAGTTTCTCCTAATATATCAGTTATTTGACATTTTGAATGATGCCTACATTGCTGAAGTTTAAAGGATCAGCTGCTTAAAGAAATTTACACACAAGGCAAAACAGGGAAGGGAGAGGACATTTTTACCAAAATCGGTTTATTTATATTTTCATTTTCTGTGTTTTCCCTGTTATTTTTTCTATTCCCAAGGTTCTCAAACTACTGTCCTTGGGCCATGAGCGGCCTGCAAAGAGCTGGCTGACAACATAGTGTTGGCTCCTTCCTATTACATTAAAAGGACTAGAAACTACATTAAGTATTTTCCTAATATTACTTTTCCATGTAACCAATTGCTGTAGTTTCCACACAGATGCTGCTAAATTGGAGAGGAGGTAGTCTGCACAAATGTGAATGGGAAATAACTTTTCTATTAAAATCTGTTTTATGGAAAATTTTGAAAACCCCAATCTATTTCGGGTTTTATACTATGCTCACCTCCCTAGTATGTATGCTCCCAACAGTATAAGTTTGTTCTTTGGCATATGGCTCTCTCTTCCTTAATATCCTAGGATACTGAGAAGAAATTAGATTTTATTTTTATAACACTTTCTAAAATAAAAGTTATCTATTGTGGAAGATATTTGTGTTTCAAGATCTTCCTTTCCAAACCAACTTCTTCTCCTTCGGATTCTGGATTGAATTTATATTTGATATCTCAATGAATTGCCAAGGAAACTACAGCAACATCTTAAATATTAATCAAAAGTTTCCTGCAAGATCAAGTAGAAGAAGCTAGACTCAGAGGAAGAAAGCCACTATTGAAACACACATAAGTATCAAAAAATTCAAGTTAAAAAAAAAAAACAAGTGAAATCTTCCCTAGTGAAAGCCTAGTATCTACAGGTCAAGAACTGTATGCTAAAGTATCCACAAATATCCTACACATATACCTGATCAAAATTTGGAAACTATTCTGAAAGAGAAAAAAGATCAAATATCCACAACTTTCTCAGGTCTTGATAATTCTTACATAGGTTCCAGTTGTTCAGTAGCTGCTCTCCTAGAAATTTATAGTACTTGCTGATATGAGAGAAAAATTCCACCTCTCCAAAGACTGCCGAAATGCAAGATTAAGCATTTCATGGATATTTTGTTTTTAAGAGGTGAAGTCTATGACTCCATCCAGCCCAATCACCATAAAGGGCAACTGGACCGTTAGAAAAAGATACTGAAAAAATTGCTGAATATGGGAGTCCATTAGCATCTGACTGAGAGCTGTTGCTTTGTAACATAGATGCTCCCAGCTGTCATCTGAAGAAAAAGTTTAAACATGTTGTTACAGTCCAAAAAGCGACTATGTAAAAATGAACAGGAGTACTTATGGCACCTTAGAGACTAACAAATTTATTAGAGCTAAAAATGGTGCCATCTAACATCTTCAAAAAAAATCTGCTCCCTGTGGGTATTCTGGGTCATAGTGATATGTTAGGCTCTCCACAGATGCCAGCTCTATTTTGGAGAAAGGAAGTAAAATATCATGGACTTCAAAGATATGGAACTAGAAAGAACAGTATTACTCAGTTCTGCTTCTTTCATGGGTCTGGAAGAAATAAGCCTATTTATGAATAAACTGAAGAATGAAAAATGCATAAATGAATATACAGGAGAAAAACTTAAAACTAATTGAAATCTTTACTGTTACTAGGAAAAATAGGTGTAAACAGAAAACACTAACTTCCAAAAAGATAGGTGTTCCCAGTGCTGATCATCCCTGCTACAGGAAAGAAACTTTTCAAGATTCTAAAGGAGCAAAGAAAGCCTTTCTGGTTGATCTGCTTTATGACTGACAATTTTACCTGTCTCCAAAGAAATAAACCATTCTATAGTGGAAGACTGGCTGACAGGATACCAAAAAAGGAATTGGGTTGCTAAAGGCCTTAGATGCTGTGGTTTTCTGGTGTATGGGCATTACTTCCACAGGCAAAGAAACTTATTTTACTAAAATCTGAACCCAAATACACACAAGGGTACACTAAACAAAAGGTATTTACTGAGCAATTGTATTCAGGGTATTTGGTAACCAGATGAACAGAATAGCATTACCTGATAATTTGATGTATGGTTTTTATACTAATTATAAAGAGCCCCGAGCATCTATGACTATGAAGACTTTTAAAGTGGAAAATTCTGTGAAGATTCATGTTTTCTTCATTTTTTTGTACTTTTTATCATTAAGAGAGGAAGGATGGACCAACGGTTGGAGTGCTGGCCTAGGACATAGGAGATCTGGGTTCAATTCCATGCTCCATTATGTAATTCCTGTGTGACCTTGGGCAAGTCACTTGGCCTCTGTGGCTCAGTTCCCCATTTGTCAAGTCGTTGAGAAGGTGCTGCCAGAATAAAAAGTGCCTATGGAAACATGATGCCCCTATGACCAAGTCAGTCAGAGGATGGACACACATACACATTATTATACACCTTTGAAAATTTCAAGGTGCTCATTCTTAAGACACTATATCCCCAGAAAGTGTATCTGAATTACATGTACATGATTTTTAAAGACAATTATCCAATTGAGGGAGTATGTATATTTTCAAAAAAGACTAAACTGCAATTACTAAAATTTTTGGTAGTAATTGTGAAAAACAAACTTTTTAAAAGTTATCTATAGGACTTCCATCTGAACATTACCAAATGGTTATAAGGTTAGTAAGGAGAAAGTCTTTCAGAATATTCCAGCATTTAAAAAAAAGCTCTCCCTTCTTTCGGAGACCTTTATTCTATTCACAACTGCCCTTAACGGGGGTAGGATCCAGCCCTAACTGCACAGTAAATATCTATTTTGCAATAACGTATACTTAATTATAAGTAAATAGCAAATATTATGGTATCATTTGAAGAAACAAGGTAAACATGCTTTAATATTTTGTCTGAATAAACTTCAAACATCAATGCTTTGTTTAAGGGTATGTCTACACTACGAGAGTAGTTCGATTTTAGTTAAATCGAATATGTGCAATCGATATTAGAAAGTCGAACGTGTGTGTCTACACTAAGGACAGTAATTCGACTTTGTCAGTCCACACTACCAGGGAAAGCGTCGACATTGGAAGCAGTGCACTGTGGGCAGCTATCCCACAGTTCCCGCAGTCCCCGCTGCCCATTGGAATTCTGGGTCGAGCCCCCAATGCCTTCTGGGTAAAAAAATGTGGCGAGGGTGCTTTTGGGTAACTGTCGTCATCCGTCAGTCACTACCGCCCTGCCTCCCTCCCTGAAAGCGCCGGCGGGAAATCAGTTCGCGCACTTTTTGATCAGTGACAGCGCGGACGCCACAGCACTGCGATCATGGATCCCGCTGCGACCATCGCTGCAGTTGTGGCCGTTCTCAACGCCTCGCACCTTATCATACACCTTTCCCACAGGCAGATGCAGAGAAATCAGGCGAGGAGGCTACGGCACCGCCGTGAGGGCCTGAAGTCGGAGAGTAGCACAGAGCTGTCAGAAACCACGAGCCCCAGCGCCCAGGACATCACGGTGGCAATGGGGCATGTGGATTTTGTTGAACGGCGATTCTGGGCCCGGGAAACAAGCACGGACTGGTGGGACCGCATAGTGCTTCAGGTCTGGGATGAATCCCAGTGGCTGCGAAACTTTCGCATGCGGAAGGGGACTTTCCTGGAACTTTGTGAGTTGCTGTCCCCTGCCCTGAAGCGCAAGGACACCCGCATGCGAGCAGCCCTGACTGTCCAGAAGCGAGTGGCCATAGCCCTCTGGAAGCTTGCAACGCCGGACAGCTACCGGTCAGTCGCGAACCACTTTGGCGTGGGCAAATCTACCGTGGGGGTTGTTGTCATGCAAGTAGCCAAGGCAATCGTCAAGGTACTGCTGTCAAAGGTAGTGACTCTGGGAAACGCGCAGGCCATCATAGATGGCTTCGCCGCGATGGGATTCCCAAACTGCGGTGGGGCTATAGATGGGACTCACATCCCTATCCTGGGACCGGGCCACCAGGCCAGCCAGTACATCAATAGAAAGGGCTACTTTTCAATGGTGCTGCAAGCACTGGTGGACCATCGGGGACGGTTTACAAACATCTACGTCGGATGGCCGGGCAAGGTTCATGACGCTCGCGTGTTCAGGAACTCTGGTCTGTTTAGACGGCTGCAGGAAGGTATTTACTTCCCGGACCACAAGATAACTGTTGGGGATGTGGAGATGCCTACAGTGATCCTCGGGGACCCAGCCTACCCGCTAATGCCCTGGCTCATGAAGCCCTATACTGGCGCCCTGGACACAGAAAAAGAACTCTTCAACTACCGGCTGAGCAAGTGCAGAATGGTGGTGGAGTGTGCTTTTGGCCGTCTCAAAGGGAGATGGAGAAGCTTACTCACTCGCTGTGATCTCAGCGAAACCAATATCCCCATCGTTATTGCAGCTTGCTGTGTGCTCCACAATCTGTGTGAGAGCAAGGGGGAGACCTTTATGGCGGGGTGGGAGGTTGAGGCAAATAGCCTGGCTGCTGATTACGCCCAGCCAGACAGCCGGGCGATTAGAAG